AAAAAAAAAAAAAAATAGTGGACAAAATGTGAAAGGTCGACTAAGAGCAAATATATGTGATAAAAAATGTGTAACCTGTGGCGACATATTCAGGTGCAGCATATCCATGAGTGCCCATAACTTGGGTCGATACATGTGTCTTGTCGCCGGTGGGGCCGGCTTTGGCCAAACCAAAGTCGGACAATTTGGCGTTGAATTCCTATAAACCGAATCGAGTTGAAACTTGTTAGTGCCAAATGGGAACAACCAAGTTTGAATTCCATTTTTTCTTTAAACGAACATTGTGTTGGTTTAAAAGTAAGTCGAAAATGATCAGTCACTCACCCCATCAAGAAGAATATTAGAAGCTTTCAAGTCTCTGTATATGACTTGTTCTTCAGCTTCGTGCAAGAAAGAAAGGCCCCTGGCAGCACCTATGGCGACCTTTATACGAGTTGCCCAGGTCAGGGGTTGTGGCCCTCCTGGAAAACAAAATGCATATGTTAATGTCAATGCAGTTATTTCGTTTTTCTCTTTCCTTTTTTTTTCCAAAATAAATGGTTATTGAAAATTCCAATGTTTCAGAAAAGGGACTCTTGAATGTCGGAGAAGGACTATCATGCAGTAAAACAAAAATTTCAAATCATTGGTGATATCTTATCAGGAAATGTATTCGCAGGTCATAAATAAAGACGGTAAAAGAAAAAAAGATTTCTTATATTTGAATTAGTGGATGCACACAGCTCCACTGAATCTACAACTAAATTGTGAATCATAAAACACCACATACAATGGATAAAATGACAAATAGAAGCACAATTAGATAGCTTTTCTATGCATCTACCTAACAGAAATGTGTGTATGTGTGTATGTGTGTACAAATGAAGGAACCGATATGGACTAACAATGAAAATTTTTAGGAAATCAATTGTTGTTTTGAATGACCTTCAGCCTCGTCAAGTAACCATTATTACGAACAAACAAAGATACTTTCGGGTAAGAGATTATCACAAAAATACTTACTTCTGAACAAATGATTATCCAGGCTTCCTTTCGGCATGAACTCATAAACCAACAGTCGATTTTCACCCTCCAAACAGTAGCCAACGAGTTTTACAAGGTTCGGGTGATGAAGTTGTCCCAAATAATTAACTTCTGTCTGCAAATCATCTCCATGCTCTCAAAATGCTAATAATAGTATACTTCAATTAAGATGAACAAAAAATTACAAAACTTTAAAACAACCACCTAATATTCATCCCTCATTTATTAAGGAAAAGAAAAACTCCAGTCCAGTTATCCTTCATAGACACAAATAACCTTCTTACAGCATTACAATACACCCTACTAACTTTAGAAAACGATAAGCTAACCTCAGGGAATTTAAATAACCAAAAGAAGAAGAAGAAAAACATACCAACCACTCTTTGTGGCCTTGCAATCCCTCGGGCTTCAACTTTTTCACCGCAATGACCAAACTTGATCCGGGCCTTGAGGCAGTAAGGGTATGCTCATCAATCCACCCTTTGAAAACGTACTTTTTCACCGCAATGACCAAACTTGATCTGGGCCTTGAGGCAGTAAGAGTATGCTCATCAATCCACCCTTTGTAAACGTACCCGAAGCCTCCTTCCCCAATAAAACTGCCGGGCCCAAAGTTTCTCGTTGCACTTCGTAGTTCGTTAAATGTGAAGGCCTTCACATGTGGTGATGACAGAATCTCAGCTTCCGATTTTGGGTATCGTGATGCTTCTAAAAATGTAGAAACCAAAAAGAGAAACAAATAAATAAAATAGAATGAACTAATCTGCTGCATCACGAACCCAATTTCTGTGTAATTGAGGGTTTTACACGGTTATGTACATACAATTTCTGTGTAATTTTTCCTTGATCATAATCAATGGAACCTAAACAGATACTTTTATGTTGTTGATTGGGTATAAATTTATGACATAATATAATTTTAAAAAATAAAATAAAATAAAAGAGAAGTACCAGATAAAGAAGCAGAACTGAAACGCGAGCTGTAATCGGTGGAAAAAGAGCTACTTAAGCTGTCACACACTGCAATTTTTCCTGAGCTTCTCTCTGTTAAGAACGCCGGCAACGAGCTTCCCCCAGTTATCGTACACCATTGACATATTTAGTTAATTATTTTAACCTATAATTAATTGCGAGAATGCATTTTTTGGGTAGGCTCTAGTCGATCCTCTCGATCTGTCCTCTCACTAAATTCAGTTTTTGAACTGTTCTTTCAACTTTTGAGCTGTTTCTAGATGTATCTATGTATTTTTTTGATATAATCTTTATCGTTCCGAAAAAAA